GAGAATTTTTCCAATATGGCCATTGTGGTCCAAAGTATTCACATTGAAATCCCAAAAAGTCACATTTTATTGAATTACCCTTTTCATGGTAAACATTTTATTTGTTTGCAGTTTGCACATATTGGTCTATGATCAATTAAGTGATTATTGAGCCTTTCACCACAAAGGCTCAATAATCACTTCACTACTTTTATCTTCTTTTATTTACACCCGATATTGGCAAATTACATTGGAGGATGGGAAGTGACACTTTCAGATCCATATTGTGATTCAATTTCATATAGAATTACAGTGTAGTAAACGTTCCATTTATTCTACATGTTTTACTCTCCTAAACTACCTCTGTGTGTTTTTGCATGTTTTGTCCTGTCTATAAACATATAAATATTGTTTGTATGTCCGTACTGGGTCTATATTTATCTCTTTACCATTTGTGTAAGCACATGTTCTGTATTTTTTTCAATATCTAAATCACTCCTAAATATTATCTGTGTCTATTGCATATCAGAATACCTGTATATTTCCTCAGTTTGTTTTGTCTGTCTTTCTGCACTTGTATTGCATTTATGCCTTTTATACTTGGGCAGATGCTTTTTTATATTTTGTCTAGAAATTAGTATTGCCTGTGTTTCTGTTCAACAATTTTAACATTGTGTAAAGAAACAAACCCACACAAGGTCTTATCCTGTTATTTTATTTTCTGTCTGCTCCGTGTGTTTGTTTTATCTTTGTCTTTTGTCTTTGTATATTTTATGTACATGCGCGTCTGCTATTTTTCAGTCTCTGTATATATTCTCTGTTTTTTTTGTCCGAGTGTCTGATGATGCCTCTTCTGTCATATATTGTCAAAACATCTGCCTTTTCTATACTTGGTCTCTAAGTCCCAATCTTGTGTCTGCTTTTTATGTTTGCTCCTAATATGTATATTTCTGGTGTGCCCATCTGTCTTGCTTTACTAATTGACTTTGTATATTACGTCTGTGCATCTCTGATCTCTGTAAATTGGGTGATGATCCTCTCTTACCAATGTTTGTGCCTCAGCTATTATAGCTTATGTTATCATGTTTCTCTAGTTCTCCAGGTACCCATCAATTCTATAAGTAGGCTTCTAATGAATTGCATCAGCATGTCCTTAGCTTTTCCATTTGTATATGATCTGTACACTGTAGACTTTTTACACCTATGTTGTATATGTGAGACTTAACGCACCCATATCTCAATTGTGTATGTATAGAGTGCTACCACTTTGTGTTCTACATAGTTATCTACATATATTAGGACATAACAGATCTTAAGCCTTCTACTTTTTTTCTTAGAATTGTATTTATTTATTTAAAATTTCTTTAAAGGATCTCTTTTATGGCAAACATGACATTGTACTATTTTGGGGATTTTTTTTAGTTCTGTCTGTGTGTTATGATATGCATAGAACAATCAGAGATATAGGTATTTAAAGTAGTGTACTCAGTGTTACATTTGCATTGCCTCGCTCGTTGATATTAGAACAAATGCACTGTCTTTTCTATTGTTTTATAAAGCACACAGCATGCATTGGAAGATGAGATTCATTTTGCAGTCACCTGCCACCAAACTAAGTATCTTGCACAAAAATCTGGCATGGTTTTTACGTAAACTGCAGAAACAGCATGACATACCACCATGTTGCCCGTGTCTTCGAGTAGGACGAAGGGGACAAGCTAGGAAATATTTCTAAAGTCCCTGTCAGCCTTCATTTGCTTTTGCATGGGCTTCTTATGCATATTTTTTATAATTAAGTAATATTCAGTAGGCCAGAGCGCGAGACTGAGTACTAATATACAGATACAGATATACTAATGTACAGCTATTTTTCATTGTATGGCTTCTTACAAATGTAACAATCGTCTATTCTGCTGTAGGTAGGATCAGGATAGGCTGACAGACCTCAGCCATTTCCTGGTCTCTTCACATTTTACTGCAGAAACTGCAGTTTGTGGGGATTTGCCACAAATAAGCATTCAGAGATGATTATATTTGTGCACGTTTTTCCAGATAAGTGTCAATCCTTGTTTAGATTTTGATTTAAATCATTTTGATATTTAATGGTTATGCTAACATACTGTCGATCATGAACCTTAAGTTCACTATTATCCACTAATTTTCTACCAAGTTTATGCTTGTGCCCTAACAACCATAAACAATAACAACTAAGGCACAAACTGAATTCCTATAGGACACAAATAGTTAAATATTAACAATTATTGCTTAGGTACAGAGAGGCAGATCTTTTCAAAACTGTTTTGTTGGTGGGAGATTTGATGTTTTCTGGAAGTTTATTGCTTGAAGGGTGTGTATAAACCTTGTGTATGTAAGCGTAAAGGCTAGCATAATAGTTTATAAACATCTGCCGTTCCAAGGTTAACCATCACTGGTATATCTGTATTTTGTCTGTTTGTTGTAAATCTTGTTTGTGAAGTTGTTTTCTTTGCCTGCCTCTTGCCCTGGCCTATGTACATCATTTCTGTATTTCTTGTCTCTGTATGTCAGTCATGTGTGTAAGAATCTGTCCCGTTTATTCCTGAATGTTATGTTTTGTATTATAAATACATGAGGATACCAAGCATACTTGTGATAATCTGCATCACTTTCTATTTCATGTCCTGTCTCATTTTGTACATTATATGAACTGCCAGGTCTGAGCCGGGGATCAGATTGTCTGATTAATAAATGTATATTTAAAGCAAGTAATGGGATCAGCTGAGTCCTTGTGGTATGCGCAAAGTCTGAATCCCAGGGTAGTGAATTATTGCTTGTTACCATTATATATCTGGGAGCGATAGTCAAAATGATTTTCCCTCATGTAGATTTCATACATGAAGTAATAACTGAAGCAATTTCACCTGCTGTGTGTATTTAGACATTATTGCTAAAACTATGTCTCAGTCTCTTACTATTGAACCTTTAAAATTTATAAAATGTTGATGGGGGGGAATAAAAGTAATGCTCTATGCATATCAGCTGTAAGGAGCTGAGCTTACCCTACCTTATATTGTTTATTAATTCTAGTGATATATTTACAAGTTACTATCTATATATCTATATATCTATCTACAGATAGGTAGATACACAAAGACACATACATATAGATAATTATGCTTGGTTTTCAATAAATCAATAAAAGATAACAGATGGAGTTTTTCTTTTATAATGACCTAATTTATAGCCGTTACCATGTTACGTCATTTAAAGCAATAATTCAGGTTTACAGGTATCAGGTGAAATGCCATTTCTTTGATGTATTTCATATTGACAACCTCTAAACACCAGCCAAAATATCTCAGTTTCCAATTTGTACACTCATTATCTGAATATTAATATCGTACAACCACAGAAGTTGAGGGAAATTCACTACTGAGTATCGTTATGGTTGTTATGTTTTTTGGGGGTACATTTTTTCACCTGGTGTAAAACATTATTTAGTTAAATGACTGCATTAGTAGTATGTTAATTACAATGACTATACCAGCAAGGTTTCTTTCTCATAAACGTAGAGCATAAGGTTACATGGTATAAGTGCAGGTGGGTGATCTACAAGCCTAAATATCTAATGCACACAGCTGTAAAAAAAAAAAAAAGCAAAGTTATTTTGTTGCTGCTATTTTGCCCCTTTTCCCCCCTGACGTTCTCTTCTCTAATTATTCAGGTTTTTTAATGGTTTTGTTTAAGGAACATTCCGAGCACTGTAAACACTACATCATACTTGGGTAGTTATTGTGCCAGGACTGACCTGACGTCTCTTTATTGTTTTGAATGGTTTGACTATTTACTAAGGGTCCACTGGGCGCTGCGCCCCAGCTCCACAACTGATGATGGAGAGTCGGAAGCATTTAATGAAGAGCTTCCGTTAGCTGTGCAGTGCAGGGCCAGCTCATTGGCTAAGAGCATTGTCTGATCACTTTCATCCAATGAGCTAATCCCTACATCACTGGACTTCGTTCAGGGCGAGAGATTCTGACTTTCTATCTCAACTAGTAGAGGCAGACCGTTCTAAAATGGTAGGAAGTCAAACCATTCTAAAACGGTTTGGCTACATACAAAGAGGGGGGCACAAGGGCAACATAACCAGTACAGCTTGCTGTATGTCTTTATAGAGTTCACTATGAAACAGAGTTGACATTTATTTCTAACATTTCTGGTAGGAAATTTATTCATTTGGCACCAAGGGTCTTTTCTCTCTTTAATAGATAATATACATCCTGGTATAGTCATTATATAGCTGAATTTGCCTGACCCATTGCCATGAATATGCTTTTTTCGGGTATGGTAACTGTACATACTCTCTTTGCCTATGTAAGTGAACAGTAGGATAGAATTTGGCTGAGATAAATCAGTCAGTTCCTGTATGATATTGAGGGCCCAGGGGGCAGAACAGATCCAGTTGAAAAGTTGGTATTTAGTTGTATGTTTAAATAATAATTTATTTGAAGGGACACTATAGGCAACAAAACAAGTTTAGCTTAATGAAGCAGTTTTGGTGTATAGAGCATACCCCTACAGTCTCATTGCTCAATTTTGTACCGTTTATGAGTAGAGTAACTTTAGTTTCTGTTTATGCAGCCCTTTCAATGCATGTAGCAGCTCAGTGTGTTTACTTTACACATTTTTATAATTGTACATTAATCACACATGCTCTAGAAATTAAGCAGACAGTGCAATAAAGGAAGTTTAAACATTAGATCTCTCTTTACAGGAAATGTGTAAGGAGCCCATTTAGGTCACATGCAGGAGAGGTGTGACTAAGGCTGTATAAACCTAACTCCTAAATGGCAGATATATTCCAAAAGCATCCCAATAAGCTATAATTGTTTTGGTGCCTATAATGTCCCTTTAAGTGTATAATTGTTATGTACCATGTATATAATGCATTCACAAATAGGTATCACAGACTATATTATGTCCTCCTAGCTTTAGAAGTAGTACTAATAGAGGTGAGTTAATAAGTTTGTATTTGCAATGAAACAAAAGGAAGGCACAAGGTGGTATTTAAAAAAACAAACAAAAAAAAACCATATATGCCTTTGAAAACATTCCCTAAGTCTGCTTTCATTTCAGCCACTCTGGCCTTAAATTTTAAATTCACTTTGTATTCTTGCATTAGTAAATATCTGACAGTGATCTAAAGCAAGGGTATTACACTCATTGAGTTCCCATCTGGGCTATTTCATAGATTCCACGTGCAGCTTACTGGGTTATCTACTGAAGACTGAATTGTACAAAATATGCCAAATGGCAAAATTTAGTTAGTTAACTCTAGTGAATAATCCTGTTATTGATTTATCCCTTATCCTCAATGAATTGCAGACTCAGCATAATAACAGTGGTGGCCACTATATCTACTTCTGGTTAAAATAGATACACCAGAATTTGGCAAGTCATTTTAACCTTCCCCTCCCCTTTTTTAAGGCCTGTCCATTAAATCTGCCCACTATGTTGCAATCAATCTCAAACACCATGGCTGAATGTAATGTTTCCTAATCCAACTGCAGTGGCAGAAGTTTAATAAACAAGCACCCTTTGTGGGTTCTTGCTGTGCAGTCTTCTTCCAGTTCAGCTTTGGCATGAAATTAGTGCCAGGTGGAACATAACTGTGTTTCCTTGCAGTGCTCTCGACTTTCTGTTGATGAAAGATTAGAGTGTAGTTTATCCTGTTTCTGAATAGGTGTGTGCTTGGAAGTCAGCATGTTTATTGAAAAAAAAATGTATTGTCCCTCCCTATTCATAATTTGTGTCGTTTATTTTAAGTTGTTTTGCTAAATGTCTGTCAGTCAGTATATGGGCAAGTGAAATGTATTTGCTGTTCCACATGTTGTAGTTTTTCGTTTGGCAAAGAAATCTTTTCCATGTACTGCCAAACTCTCTCGTTTTGTTGTTTGGGATGTGATTTGTGTAGTCATGCTGAACTAAATAATAAGAAGTGTTGAAAAATCAAGGAATCCTGAAAAGGTCTTAGGATAAAATGACCTTGTGGTCCTGAATTGTCCAAATATTTTTGGGACAAGGATTGTCGAGGTGAAACAAGCAAAATATGCACTTTTACACTATTAAAAATAAAATAAAATCTGTTTTATTGGTCTGATGATGACCGCCAACAGCACTTAGCAAGTCTGATGTCATGTCTGTGCACGTAGTAAATAATGCACCATTGCTGTGAACAGGTGCATCCAAAAATGTACTTCATCAAAGATTGTGGACGGTTATAATGCAAATTACTTGGCTTTCAGAATTCGTGTCCTAGGTGCTTCCCCTGCATCAATATGTAAAGAATTAATGTCTGTATCACAGTCTGCATAATATATCACAGACCTGACTGATTAACCCTATAAGGACCAGTTAATCCTCTTCTTGCTGTTGTGGCATAGGGACCCTGAAGACCCTGTACCAGTTGAATATCATTACTTGTAAGGTCTAAACTAAGGATTTCTGCTACCATTAAAGCCATAGACCAGAGATAAGCAACCTTCGGCACTCCAGATATTGTGGACTATATCTCCATTCAAAGCTCTTATAGCCATAATGCTGAGTAAACTTTGACCCTGTACCTCACAGTCAGCAGACACATTCCAGCCAATCAGCAGCAGACCCTCCCTCCCAGTCCCTCCCACCTCCTGGACAGCTCACTAAGAATGCAGCTTCAAAATGAATGTAAGATGGATGCTGTCCAGGAGGAAGGAGGGTCTGCTGCTGATTGGCTGGAATGTGTCTGCTGACTGTGAGGTACAGGGTCAAAGTTTACTCAATGATGACATAGGGGGCGGACCGAACAGCGCATATGTTCGCCGTCCGTGGCGAACCATTCGGGACATCACTACAGGTTGCCAATAAATAAAATAATCTTGATAAAACCAAGAGGTGAAGATCGCTCTGCTTTAATGAGCTTGCACTTTATTTCCTCACCGATAGCGTGTGTGTTTGAGTGTATATGCAAACTGTATATAGTGTACAGTAACGAGTTTAGACGTTACACTATAGTTGCACATTCAGTGAGATTATTAAGACCCATCAAGGAAAAACGCTGCTGATACCTTTATGCACATAATTTGTAATTGGTATGCGCAGGTGAAACTGTATGATCCGGTAGGTTCAATTTTTGGAGCATTAAAGGACCACTATAGTGTGATACTTAGGTCCCCCCACCCTCATGGCCCCCCTCCCGCCAGGCTCTAGGGGTAGGAAGGGGTTAAACACTTACCTTTCGAGGGAGCCCGGCGCTGGGGACTCTCCTCCTCCTTCCGACGTCATCGGCTGAATGTGCATGCGCAGCAAGAGCATTCAGACAGTCCATAGTAAAGCATTCTCAATGCTTTCCTATGGACGCCGGCGTCTTCTCACTGTGAAAATCACAGTGAGAAGCGCCTCTAGCGGCTGTCAATAAGACAGCCACTAGAGGCTGGATTAGCCCAAATGTAAACATAGCAGTTTCCCAGAAACTGCTATGTTTACAGCAGGCAGGGTTAACCCTAGATGTACCTGGCACCCAGACCACTTCATTAAGCAGAAGTGGTCTGGGTGCCTATTGTGGTCCTTTAAGAGAATCGCACGTTGTACAAAAGTACATTTTTTTAAAATCACTCTTAATTTTTCTTGAACATCAAAATCCAGCCAAATAGTGCATGGCTTGTTTCTACTTTAAGATGGTCATTCCTTGCATTTAATGGAGCCGCAGTGCCATACTTCTTTACATTGCTCCGAGGTGGGAAAAGTAACACATATTAATCACCTGAGGCAGAAATGGCAAATAGGCGAACTCTGTAGCAGTAAAACTACCCATTATGTTTTGATACCCTAACAAAGTTGTAGGTCTACTATAGATGGGAATCATCCGTTTGGCTGGCCTTGTTCTGAGCTGTCCATCACCTCCGTACTCTAGGAAAGTTTGCAAGTGTATGTGTTCCTGTGAGCTGGTCTATAGTTTGGCTTAAACACAACCAAAGTAGTAGCAAAACAGCAGCCAGTGGATTTTTTTCAGTTTCTTCCTTTTCCTGACTATTGAGTAGCTAAAGACCAAGGATTAACAGCTTCTCCTCCCAGTGTCTTGACTGGCCTAGCACCATAGGAGTCATAGCCTGCAGCGGCTAGTGTACCAGGGATAGCCTAGTCATCATGCCTAGCAGTTCTGTCTGAACACCTCTATGATCTCTGGAATTTTCACAACGTCCAGGCAAGATAAAATGTTTGTGCATGTTTGGTATTGTTATGTGATCTCATGTTTATGGAGAGTGCGTGTGTCATTCATTTTTATTGAATTGATTTGGAATCGCATTTTAAAGAGCTAGACTCTATAAAAAACAACAACCATAAGACACACTCTTGCACAATGCTACTCTTAAGAGAGTTTGATACATTAATTAATACACTTTAGAAGCCAGACATACTTTTTAGTAAGCAAGCTGATTTCAATAGGCAGGAAGTACAAGCTACCTGGTCGTTTCTTTATGGGTTTATGTGATATGTAGTTTAGAATGATAATTTCATAAAACACTTGAATATAACTACTTTATTGACGTCAAATTAATAGAAATCACAGTGTAGTTTTGATTTGCTTAAAAAAAAATGTCTTCATGTACTGTATGTGTTTTTTCATGAATCAAGCTATTTGCAGCTACACATGCGTAATCTCTTTGTCAAGAATAGCTATCAGACTATGTGTGAGGTGGGCTATTAGGTCCAGTGAATGTTGCGAATAATGAGGCACAAGCAGGGAGCTTTTTTCACCATAATTTATGCAAGAAGCATAGATAGTCGGTGCTTAGAGTGCTCATTTACTGTGATATATCTTACTGTAATTTAAGTTTATAAAAGTCAGGGCTCAATTTTTAAAAAAAATATGTAAAGATTGCTCATAGTAGGAGTCTGTAGTGCAGAGTTTTTGTGACCTTTCAGAAGTCTCAGATAATGTACAAATAACCTTACCATTGTCCCTACCTTACGTCTAATACCCTTGCCGTTGTCCCTATTTTACTTCTACTATGCACACTTTTATTTATTTTTTTAGGATAGGCCAAGCAGAGGGAGGAGTAGGAGATAGGATAGAGAATGTGTTCTATGCTCTGTTTGTTTTCTCTCTCTTGGGACATTCATTCCTAGAATTTCTGTGTTTAACCTGGTTATCTCCTCTCACGTTCCCAATCTCAGTTTTTGTACACTCTTTTTTTTTTTTTTTTACTTTAATCCAGCTCATAATGCAACAACTTCTGATCTGTTGCCCATCTAAAATATCCTTCAAGACACATCAAATCTCGTCTGACCCAGGACCCAAAGAACAGGCTTAGCTTACAGCTGAATATTTATGAACACAATGCATTACGCCAGATAACATTTATTCATTTGGCTGCCTAAAAAGTGGCATTACAAGCCCCATTAAAGGGTAGCTTGAAAATCCTCAAATTGGGTGTAAAATCTCAGTACAATATCAATGTTTCCTTCAGGTTCTGCACTGTTGGTTCTGACTGATACAGAACACTGGCTTTAGTTGAAGCCTGCTGTTCCCAAGGCCATAATTAGTTTATAATGCATCTCTCTGGCTAGAACAACACAAGTCAGGTGTGACACACAATCACAGTTGTTCAACCTTCCTGAATTATCCAGAAGTTACAGTACATAATCGTTGTTTTAAAAGAAATCAGTACAATTACTTACCCTCATGATTTTGGAATGGCCCAGAAATCATCCTTTAGAATACACATAATGTGCGGAAGACAATCCAGCGTTACTCCATAGCACATGTATGCGGTATTTGCTAAACCTGTGTCTCCTTTACATTTTACATACCTTCCAACATTTCAAATGGTCAAAGAAGGACACTTTAATTTTAGAAATGTGGTGGTATGGCCAGGGGCGAGGCTTTTCTGAGCAATTTTAGGTGATTTACTAATAACAATTTATTCAACTAAAATGTTATTTTAAACAAGAGCAATGAATCTAATTTACACAGGATATTTTTAAAGGACATTTATTTTAGTTTCAAGGCACATTACTGCAAGTATGATTGCTGTGGGTCCTAAATAGGTACACTTAAGGAGGTATACATTGTATATACATTGTATATGCACATATCGGATGTATATTACAATGTTCTCAGCCTTTTTGATATGTGTACATTACAGTCCTCCCAACCTCTTTAAAGCGGAACTTTCACTTTCTGGGGATTTTACAGAATTTGCAAAGACCCCCAACGGTGACTGCCGCTGGTGTCCATCGCCACTGGTGTCCAGTAGTTGGGGGACAGGAACAGGCAAAGATGAGTTCTACTTACCTGATCCTGCCCCTTGTGGGCGTGACCATCTTGTTTCTGCTGGTTCTCTTATGCTCTCTTGCAAGCTCTCATGCATGTCTTGTCGAATCATCTCCACACTGTACCACCTAATGACCTTTTATGACAACCACAAAACAAAATCCACAGAATTAAGTATTTTGTGTGTTTATTTATCTCAACCAAACTTCATTGATATACTACCAGATGCGTTCAATTGATCTCAAACTCTCTAATACACGTCATGTAACCTTCTTTAGATTGTAAACTAATGGACAATCTTAACCTACCTGTCAACTTGCTCATCCCTGCATGCGGAACACCGATAGGCAGGTGTTAAGGGGATAGCCAGCAAAAAGGAGCAGACCCAACCAGACAGGAGGTAGGTCCTCCAAGAGAATAGAGAGGTCACCCTGGTGTGAATGCACACTGGTCTGCCTTTCAATCAGACAGTTCAGCCCACTGTAGGTGGGATATGCAAGGATGTTTCAGAGCTCTCTGCTGGGTCCTAGCTTCTTTACTGTAGTGCAAGCACGTCTAATGGTGACTACACCATGTTTTTTGGGGACAGTTACCTGGTGTCCTCAAAACACCAGGGAATAAAGCTGGCATGGCGGGAAATAAGCCTCAGATCGGGACTGTCCTGTCTAAATCGGTACAGGTAGGAGGCATGCACCTAGCTAAGTACTTTATATAATATAGCTTTAGTTCCATTTTAAGTTGCACATGTGGTAAAAATACAAGAAAAATAATAAAATTGACTCTGTAGTAACAGTACGGCAGGCTTTGTGCAAAGATACCAAAAAGAACAATGTAAAAGCATTTTAATCCACAGGAGAAAAAGATGGGAATCTCAAATGGCTAAGCATGCTTTTAAAATTGACTTTTGTACTAAAGCCAAATTAGTGGAGGAATTCACATCTCTATCTAAAGATAAGAGTGCAACATTGGATGTCATAATTCTCTGTGGGTACATCCATTGGCATTATATCAATTAAATAACTTTAAGACATTTGTTTTTTATCAAATCAAATCAAAATAACCAGAAGTACCTACAAGAAATATAGAAACATAGAATGTGATGGCCGATAAGAACTATTTGGCCCATCTAGTCTGCCCAACTTTCTAAATACTTTCATTAGCCCCTGGCCTTATCTTATAGCTAGGATAGCCTTATGCCTATCCCACGCATGCTTAAACTCCTTCACTGTGTTAACCTCTACCACTTCAGCTGGAAGGCTATTCCATGCATCCACTACCCTCTCAGTAAAGTAATACTTAACAGGTTTCCTTACATTTTGCATGGAAATAGGCAGCGTGCTACACCCAGGCATTTGGGGTATGTTTTGACAGCGGTGCAAATGTACATGTTTGCATCCATGGCATGGTGGCCTGACTCATGTAATGCAGAAGCCCCTTTAGATGTTTTTACTATGTGTAGAATCCATGCTTCAAGTTTTTTACAGTTTGGCCTATATACCTCCAGGGGCTTATATACTTCACATGTTGTGCTCAGAAGGGAAAATGACAGTTGATAGTAGTAACAAGTTTAATTATGTGTTTATGCTTTGTCTTAAGCTATAGTAGTTTTCTAATGGCTGAGTTTTGTTTTGTTTACAACACAACAAACCCCTTAGTAACCAAAGTTTTTTTTTTCTGAGTTTAAATTACAAAGCAGCAATACACAGCACCTCATATTTGTGATTGAATTGAGAACTGTTAAAGCCCTGTAGATGTTGATCAGCGTATTCATTCCATTACGTGGCTACTCCAATCAAGTTTTCCTCCCATCCTATTTCTCTTCCTTTCCCTAGTGATTTATTTTTCTCTCGCTATAGAAATTGCAATCGAGAGAATTTCCCTGATCGCAGTTTTATAATCAGAGGGGCGTGGGGTCTATTTTAATTTCTTAATACATACTCGCAACACTCTTCTAGCATGCCCCCTCCCCAAATTAAACATTGCTTCGCGAACGTTAAGCGAGGAGCCTATGTCCTTTCGTGCCCCCGATGATTTAAAAAGGATATTCATTTATGCCTTTTAAACGCCAGCCCGATTAAAATCAGAGAGATTTTCTTCATCAAAATCTAACATCCTTGAAAAATTAATTTGATGCTTCTGTTATCAGTTAATTGAATCTGCTCAGGGACGAGGTTTGTGTGGAGGGTGATTAAAAGCGTCCTCTCTTTGGGCTTTCTTTTTCCTTTTCTTATTTCAAACACTGCAACATTATGAAACCTTCCTTTTATTTGCCCATTTTAACATATTTTCAGTAGAATAAGAGATGAATAATGATTGTTCTTCTTGTCTCTGGAAAAGCTACTGAGTTTCAGTCTTGCGCTTATAGATGGCTTCTGGAGTGTAAAGGATGACGTTCCGAGACCAAACACGTTGCAATCAAGAGGAAGTGCTGGTTCCACTTGCTGCTTTCCTGCCAGGCTAACGAGAGAACGGCACTTTAGACAGAAACTGTGTGGTTTACTGTGTACTTTCTGTGAGATACTTTGATTTTCATATAGAGGATCCAGTTAATTTGTATTTAACGTATTCGTCATTATAAACATATTAATAGATTATATGCACCTACGCTCTGGCAGTGTGTATAGATGCTAGTTATATATTTTCATATATTTATTCTTTACTTGTATGTATAAATACGGCATAGTTATATTTCCTTGAGGTGTCAGGGTCCGCAGTTGCTTTTTTGGTAACATTTGGTATTCATTATCTGGGCAGTAACAAAATCAACCATCTTGGCTGTCATCTGTACCAAAACAATTCACAAGCTTTGACTTTCAAAACAATTTTAGTAGGGACACTGACCCAACAGAATTGTATCAGTTTGACTATCAAGAGCAGAGAAAAGCACTCCAGATGTAGATTACGTCTCCCATAATGCTATCAAAACATGTGAGGAGATGTAGTCCATGACATCTGTGGTGACTAATGTTGTCTGCATATGAGCTACAGAATGAAAAGTTCTAATAAATTTTTTTTTAAAGTATCTCTAAATTTGCAGATTTGATCATATGGTTCGGGTTATACATGGTTAACAGGTTTTAAATAGTCAAGATATTTGTGCAATGTAAAATGGTATATTTCTAAAGAAAACCGCGACTTAACTTTAAGGTAGTGTTTGACGAATATTGCATGATTTTTCTTTATCTTCATTATTTTCTTAATTTGGGGGCGGAAGGGTACTTTCTCACCCAAGATAGTAACACCAAAGAAAAGTGTTAAGATTATGCACAACAGTGTAATTTTTAATCACTATTTTGTTTCTTAAACCTTTGACATGAGTTAGGACTCTCTAAACAAGAAGGTGCAGTCTGTATGTGTGGGGTCTGACCTGGTCCTTTTATCAATATCTTAGCTTTCTGGAAATGTGTCAACAACACTCGCTTCTTGGGACTGTGTCTTAGATAGCTGGCAAATGCACTACTTGACTAGGATATTTATGTAGTCGGGTTTAAGCTGTGAATGATATATTTTATGTAAGTTTGATGTAATTAAATATTGCCGGTGTATATATAATTATCATATAATACAGCAGTCCTGGTATGAACAATGCTGTTCTATTCATGAGTAACATAGCTTTGCGTTTTATCCTCACTTGGCCCCATGAGCTGACAGTCTGGAAACATGCGCGCTTTCCTTTTCGGGATCTCACCATGCATGCATACGTCACAATTTAATTAGGCGACCCTAATTAACAAAACTTGGCACTCGCCTCTCTTCTGCCCTTGTCTTCTCTGGCTGAGAATCAATGGCTTTGATATGCTAATTAGAGAGTAATTTAATTTCAAAGGCCGCAATTAACAAGGGTGTTGTGGACATGCTGTAGTTAAGCGGCGTAATCTAATTTGCATTAGTAACAAGCAGGGACTAATTAGAAGCTTAATTAGACACTTAGCTGGCTCTCATGTTTACCTTTTTAATGAGATGGAGAAGAGAGGGTTCCTTTTTCTAGCACTTGTTAACTTTCAAGAGCTGGGAGTCTGACGCTATGCGGGCTGGACACTCCAAAATGGGAGGTAAAGGGGTCCACAAAATGACAGAGATGTGGGTGTAAGCTTGGCAAGCTGTGAGTCTGCATTTGAAAAACGCTGATGAATCCACTCGTACAGACATATACTATTTTGGGAATATTTTTACCTCAAATGACAGAGTTTTAAGACGAAAAACAAGCAAGAGGACCTAAAGTAGGTAAGAAGTCAAAACAACGTTAATTATAAATATGAGAATAGATCCAGGTAAAAGTTTGTTTAATAACAAAATTATTTTGAAGTAAAGCTACATTGATGGAATGTTGGCTGAGGCGGTGAATCTTACCTACAGACGAACCTGCCAACAAAAATGGGAGTTGCCACTACCAGTGACTCTTAACAGCAGAGCAGACGTGATTAACAGATGTTCAGTATTTTGTTGAACATATGTTTATAATTATTCACATTTGTATAGCACCAACTTATTCCTGTGCATGCTTTATAATTTTGCAAAAGGGGTATACAAACAGTAAATATTAACACAAACAAAAGGTTAAACAGGCCAACTATATGGAGATTATTTTGTTATGTGGAATAATCAGCAGCTTCACACACACTCACACGCATATTCATACATAATATGAAGAGCCTTTATACACACACTCGCAAACAAACAGAAGCTCTTTCTACACACAAAAACATATAAAGAAAAAAACACACTCACATCAGAATGAAATGCGATATTGTTAAATGCTTTTAGACAAACTGGCTTAGGTATAGCTTGTAAAATAATAAACAATGCAGGGGGTGTGCTTAATTTTATTTTCCGACTTCGTCAGCCATTTTGTTAATAGGTCAGTTATGTCAGGTCATCAAGAAAACAATGTTAAACTACAGGAGGCTAGCCTAATATTTGGATGCCACATTCTCATGGTGATAAAATTCTTGCTGCCCACACATCAACATACAGATATAGTGATGCCCTGCATTTTGCATGACATTTGCATTTACCATGGATATTCTGCAACAATCAATAATCCCAAATGTATTATACAATTTAGGAGTCCAGACAAGGCACATTGTTTCCATTAAGTCAGTAGAAAATAATTTTTCCATGTGAAAATAAATCCTTCCTTTCGTTTAGTTTTTATTCCTGGAGGCAAGGTTATATAAAGTGTCCTGTTAGAGTAGCAATGCAGTAGAGGCAAAGGTCAGGGGCAGAGGTCATGGTATGGGACCCATCACAGCTATTTGCTACCAGTGATAATGTGAGGCAGAAATTATCATGAACAATAGATTAAATGTTAGGTGTGAATATGAAAATGTCAGGAAATAAAATGTGGAAAGTGAATGCACCAAATTTGTGTTTCTCAAGTTTTTTGTTCTCTTTTTTTTTTTTCATTTTGGCACTATGTGACATTTTCAGTGATTGGAAATTAAAAGAAGCCTTCATGATGGTATTTTCAGCTAGATAAAAAACCTCAAAAGTTAGCTAAGGTAACATCTCATGCTGGCACTGACCTATTCCAATTACCTATAAATGTCCATTTTGTCCTCAGCCAATTCTGGTCCTCAAACTCTCTTGGAAGTGCTGTACACATCGCAGAGTTTATGGTATTTGTAGTTCATGAACAAAATAAATTAATAATGTTACTCAGCAAGTCACCTACACACACATATATATATATATATATATATATATATATATATATACATAAAACAAGAGGGGGTTGGCTGCACTCACCTGAACATGCATAAATGGGGGTGCTGCTGGGGGCCAAAGAGCAGACATTAGGCTGTTAGTGTAGGACCTGCCAAAGATGGGGTACATTGACGTTGTGGCAGGTTTATGCAATGTATGATCATATAATGTAACTAAACCCCCATTATTTTTTGCCTAGATTAGGTGTTTTTAAAAAAACAAATAAAATCTTTCAACATTGAAGTTGCTGTTTAGTGGATAGGTGAGTGCGCTGGATCTTGTGTATTATATATATATATATATATGTATATATACACACACACACTCACACATAAAGCACTTCAGCAAGGGGTTTAGCTGACTTGAAGAATTTTTCAAATTCAACTATTTTGACCTTAAATTTGAATTCCCAACAATTCTCACATAAGTGAATAGCCATTTAAGTTTATTTAAGCACCTTGTCCCATTCTGTTCTGGTCTACTTAGAACATTTGCCACAATTACGTGCATGTATTATTTACCTTTTATACAGCACTGTATATTTTAATATTAATAATAATAAAAGTAGACACCATGGTCGAAAAATGAAGTGAGAAAAAAAAATGTTGATTCCAGAGTGAATTGTATTTTTTTTGTTGTTGTTGAAACCTGTAAAAGGACTTGAAACTCTGTATGTAAACAGAGATATGGCTTTCACGTGCACACAGAAACCTGCTGTGCAAACACAAATACACACCAGCAATTCTATGTTCTCAGTGATCTCTCGTCTTTTAGATACATGAAAGTAAGCTAAAGCTTTGAAGGTGTTAATGTGTAAGGGGCTGTGCAGCATTTCGCCAGCTACGAGGGGTGTGGGAGGGCAGAGTCCGGGACCCTTCACCGTGCTACATGTGTCAGGTGTGCAGGTAAAACAATAAGCACTACCCTTCCTTATCTCACCCCTCCCCACCCTGCGCAGCATGACCTACACAGCAGAATGTGGATTGGCCACATCCCAGTGTTAGCTGGAAACTAACGCCCTGCAATGTTTGCTCACTGAGAGGGGGCACAGATACCCAGCGCTACTCCCACTTGTCTCATAATAGTTGATACTAAAATAGCAAATATGAAATCCACAGTATGGTGGCAAGAAGCCCACTTTTCAAGATGCTTGTATCGTAACTTTTCTTGTTTTTTGTTGTACAATTGAAATTTCCACGGTTTTGGGGGGTTTTTTTGTTCAAGGATTTATTTTTAAAGCATGGGTGAGTAAAATGCTGTATCAATGTATTGCTTGAGAACATCTATTCTCTAATTCTGCAATTGTGTGGATGTGTACTAATGCAGGACATGCATCAGTTTTTGTTCACTGACAAATTATATATGCTTTTCTTAATTTCCTTCCCTTTCATAAGGGGTTAAAAAAAATCATCGTTTTCATTGTTACATCTGGTTTTTTAGAGTAGTCATTGTAATTACACAGTGTGGGAGGTCCTATGGTTCATTGACCGTCTTTTGTCTGAATCACACTAATATTTTATCTCGCCTTGTCATCTACAGGTTGTAAAAACAAGACATGATGGTGGAATCTGCATCTGAGTCCATACGATCCACACCGAACAGTCAGAACGGAGTCGGCAGCCTCCCCAACCAATCAGATGGAAGCGGAGGGAGGGACGTTGGGGCAAGTGGAGAGAGCAATGGAGAATTGACTCCAGCAGACCTCCTGCACTTCCAGCAGCAGCAGGTAATGGGGGGCACATGTCATATGAGAAATAGCATGTGGATTACTGAGCGGTTGCAAATGGTGTGTCCTCTCCTTCAATAAAACAGATGCAAATAAACCATTGGGCAAATCTTTCCATGCTTTGAGGTATCTGCACAAGTGGAGGAAATCAAAACATTAATTTACTGAGCTAATTTATAAATCATTGGTTGCATCTTTACTCACCTGTCAGTCTTGATTATTGGCTCTTTTAAATTACCCCATTCCTGTTTATTCATGATTTACCAGCATCACCATATAAAGAATGTCTGTGGCTGTGACGTAAAGTGTGAAACCTATTGTCTCCACATGTTTAATAAATAACACATCTAGAAGACGTATTGTAGGGTGACACGGTGACTTTATATTTACAAGTGCTTGTTATAATGCTGATAGTTTGGTAACCAAACAGGGCTGGATAGAAGTAAGGTGAATATTACTTTACTGCTCTTGTGGCTTGCAGGGTAACAATAAAATGCAAAAATATGGGGATTATATATCAAAAGTGTTCTGTTCAAAAAAGTACTCTGAAACAGGGCTCAAAATTTCCATTCTGCACTAACCATTGGCGAGTGAGAATTTAGTCCTGGCAAGTAGAAATTCACCCTTGCACTATAACTTGCAGTGGCCAGTAACCTTAAGGCCTGGCTAGCCTCATAGGACCTCAAGTTTTAAGCTCTGCTCTAAAGTACTAATAGTCATGCAATCACCATCGAAATCAGTGGGGTCAGCAGGAACATTCCATTGATGATCCCTCCCCTTTTACATTTTTGCACCACTTTTTAGAATAGAATACTTCGATAAATATTCCGCAAGGTTTCTGTATAAATGACATAGTAGAAATCATGACAATCCTGCTGTTGTGGACTAAGTTTCCTAATTCTTAGTGAGCATTATGGAGAGCAAGGTCCACAACATTTGGAGAGCTATTACTTATAAATATTACAATACTAACAAAATGCCCACTCCACAATGTACACCTTTCAAAATTAAGACAGAACTGAGAAATTAAGAAACCTTTCAGAAAGACATTATGGAGTAAGTCAGAAGAACCCATGTAATGGAATTAAAAATGTTGGGGGAGAAATTGGTTATGTAAAGCAGAGAAGTGAAGTTGTAGAGAGGATTACGTTCATGTGTTGACATGGAATATAATAGAAATGACTCACATTCAATCATAGATAATCTAGGTACTACAGATGTTTTTGAACTACAAGAAGTTCTAGATCTACTGAGGGACATTGCAAATGTAACAGGCATCTTGAGTTCTACGGTTACCATATTCTTATTGGCTTGCAAGTAAGAGTTTGATTTTGTTTGTACTCCTCTTCTTTCTCAGGCTTTACAGGTGGCACGACAGCTTCTTCTGCAACAGGCAACAGGACTGAGCACCCCCAGCAATACGGAGAACAAACAGCCGTCCGTTCAGGTGGGCATTTTTAAACAGGTACAGAGTGCAACATGGTGATGTTTGCAGGTGGAAGTGTCTAGATCGCTTGCGAATTAAAATCTTTGAATGCCACAGGTTCCAGTGTCGGTGGCAATGATGTCTCCACAGATGATCACACAGCAGCAGATGCAGCAGATCTTGTCTCCTGGTCAGATCCAAGCTGTTCTTCAGCAGCAGCAGGCCCTAATGCTTCAACAGGTGAGATCTGGTTTGAGTCCACCAGTGCTTTGACACAAATAACTAATAAAGCCAGTGACCAAGGTTAAAACCTCTTGTGTCGTGCTACACTCGCTAATTCTGCATGATCCATAAACTTTGTAGAGGTTGCCATCTGAGAACATGAAACAGTTCTGCAAGTTTACAGTGCGGTCTGTCCACTAGGGGGCAGGATTGCAGAAAGTAACAACGCGTTATGCCATTAAAGCATCAGGGTCTCACTAAAATGTGTTTAGTAAACAAGCAATTTAAAACACTTTGACATCGTATGGTATGCTTGTGATATTGTCTTGGTAATAATTGTGCTGTTTTCTCAGTTCTCATAGTTTCTCCTATTGCCTCTACAGCTGCAGGAATATTACAAAAAGCAGCAGGAACAACTGCATCTCCAGCTTCTCTCCCAGCAACAAGCAGGGAAGCAGCATCAGCAGCAGCCCAAAGAGGTTAGTTGGTTTGGAGAAAGATCTTTTAGCTGTGAATCCTTAGTTTTAGATCAATGCTGATTGTAAGCATAGTCTCGTATATTTTACACCTGAGCTTTCGGTTGAGTGCTCTTGGTAATAGTATGAGAAACGCCGGCTTGCTTGTTGGCACAGGCATTATCGGAGTTGTCATTCTACAGTAAGAGCTACCTGGTACAGAAGCTGTTGTTTGTTGAAAAAACAGCCGTTTATGCCTTAAAAAGTGCAGTTTTTTGGGGTGGGTATTATGTGACTGAAAACTCTGGAAATTGAATACTACTGAATGCTGTCAAAATCACGTAATTATTTTAACAGGAGCACCTACCGAGATATAACGTGGATGATCTCTGTATTTTGCAGCCAGTATTGGGGAACAAGCAGATTGCTTTCCAACAACAGCTTTTACAGATGCAGCAACTGCAGCAGCAGCACTTACTAAACTTGCAGAGACAGAGTATGGTGGGACTGCAGTCCGGACAGGGACCAATGTCCTTGCAAAACCTTTCACAAGGTAAACCTTTACTGACCTAATTTCCCCTCTCACCTTGTCCTATCACTGTCTAGCTATACTATGATCTGTTACACTATAGTCATTTCATCGCATATAATTCATAAAGATAGATCTGGCTGAACCCATGTTACCTTATTGCACTCTTACCTCCTGCCCCCTTCAGTTTCCAGCTCTTTAAAGTAGGGACCAACATGCCCAACACATGCTGGTGCAGAGCTTCCCCAAATCTAGTCAAACTAATGACACGCTCTTGTGGCCATATTTGACCTTTTTCTCTTCCAGCTGTTTCACCATCAGATCTACAACAGCTCCTGAAAGAGATGGCCAACAGTCAGGAGGAATCCTGTAAACAGGACAGTGTAGACCTGACCACCTCAATCACTACCTCGTACCCAACCAAGGTATCACCTCCCACAGCTCATCCCTCACTTCCTAATGGGCAGGGTGCCCTACAGAATACACGCAGGGACAGGTGAGTGTTAGACATCAAGTGAAACTCTGGCAAATTAAATTTGCAGTCTTTGTCTTTTCATATTGTTTTGGCACTTTGTAAGCTGTGATTGTTCTAGTTCCCTTATGTGCCTGGGATCTGTGGCATTATCACTCTTTATCAAAGTCGCTTTTCTTGAGGTGCCAATCCCTAATTTACACCTTTGCTTAGGTTAGGTCTTGTTGATAAAAAAGACCCCCAGTCCTGATTCTGTTTATAATATAGCTCAGTATATGATATTATTTTCCTGTGTGTCGTGTTTAATTTTCTCTTTGTCTGTTGGGTGTACAATATTTTTTTCTAAAGTGGAGATTTGCCTGTTTCACTAAGTCTTTACTCGTGCAGTCTCTGCAGAAATTTAAAAAAAGGTTTTACATACTTACTTTTTTCCTCTCTCTCATTGCAGCTCCTCACATTATGAGTTCACCCCTAATTCTCATCCTCTTTATGGACATGGTGAATGTCGGTGGCCAGGTTGCGAGGCTCTCTGCGAGGATATGGGCCAGTTTATCAAGTCAGTATTCATGGTGCATGTGTCCTTTTTGAATGCCACTGAATGTGTAGTCATACAGACATCAACATATTGCATTGCATTATATAAAAGATGTTAAACATGCTTAAACACACACATATTGCATTGCATTATATAAAAGATGTTAAACATGCTTAAACACACAAGTCATCACACATTGTTAACACCATTTGTGTCTGCTTCCCTCCATCTCCTATTTCTTAACTCCTAGAAGAATTATTAACCGTATATAAGTCTGGGTTGTGAACCAACTCATCATTTCATTCATTACCGCAACTACAAATACCTATACTTATATATTGGTGATGGAACTTCAATCAGGGGCCAAAGGGCCAAACATCTGAAATAGGCATCCTAATCCCTAACTTACAAACAACCATTGTATGATGCCCTGATCCCCAACTTACAAACATAATCCAGCAGAGAGTCACATCAATGTGAAAAAGTTAGGTAGGCAAATTAAGCATTTAAAAAAAAAAAAAATATATATATATATATAGTACAAGTTCCTTTACAATCTGGGTTATTTTCTCTCACATCCTGTTATTATTATAATATGATTCTGTGTTGTCACATGCAATAAACATGATGACCTGAAACATCTGTCATGCTGTGTGGCACCTGCACATTGGGGAAACTTTTAATGGCAAAACAGGTGGTATTCTGATTATAAAGTGTTAAATGAATGAGACAATCTATTGGTTTCCATGGCGATTGCTCCTTATTTAGTACATTTCCCCAGAAGAGCACCTGTTTTTGCCTTGATAAATTTCCCCCATTGTGGTAATAGCAACCTGCAAGCAGTGATGTAATTGTTGATGTGGTGTCTCCAAACTCTCATGTGCCCCTAGGGGACCATTTATTATTTAGGATTCTAAAACTGCCCCAGATGAATCTATATTCCGCAAAATTTATATGCCAAAATTGTAGGTTTTACATAGCAAAGGCTTTCAGCAAATATATTATCCCATTATTATTAATGTGGTGCACGCGGTGTGTGATATATATGACTATATTGAATGTCAGTTGCTTTGAAAATTTGGGATCAAACGTGTCTCAGGACCATTGGGAAATGTTGTGGGGAGTGGTTAATGTTTCAGGGGGTAACACACTTATGTAACTTCCCAATGCACATTTTTTTCCCCTAAAAGTGGTTGCACTGGGGCTCTGATTTCTCCAGCGGTGGTCAGTCATATAACCTTGCAATGCCAAATTATAATACTATATGTTTTATAGCTAGGTTCCCCAACCAGTTCATGGATTGGTTATAAATCTGGGGTGTATGGTTAAAAAAAAATTCAAAAAAAAAAAGAAAATAAATAAAATATAATATTGACAAAGATAATGTTTATCTTATTTTTCGTTGTCTCTTACATTCGGTTCTGCAATGTTTTGTTTCTTTCTGGATATCTGTGATAAATTTAAAAGAGTGATAGATATGGTAAAACACAAGCTACGTAAGTTAATGGATATAGCATCTGGTCACTTGAGATGAGACGCTGGGATATGGAAGAGTAAATATCAAGGGGAAGCAGCCGAGTGGAGAGAGCAGTGTAAATATTAGGTGTAAGATCCGTGGACATGCTATTTGAATTTAAAGTAGTATTTCCATGCTAGTTTTGTTTCTGCATTTGCTCGAATTAATACTTCTAGATCAAGAATTCCCCAAATCCTCTGCCTACCAACAGAAACATAGCTTGAGGGCAGAGGTTAGACATCTCTGATATAGATCAATATGTACACCAATTCTGTATGCGGATAAATACATAGGTCATGACTTTTAAACTCCAACATCTGTCAGCTTCTACCCATGGAGATATTTTAGATTTCTCTTAACATGTAGCCAAAACATTTTTATAGTCTGCCACTAAGCAATGTGCTAAGTGCTCATCAATTTTATTGTGAGCCTTGAGGGTTGCTGTTCAATTACCCTGAGAAGTGGTGTCACATATGGCGCCTCGGCCCATGGGAAGCATATTAGTTATTGAAATATTTATAAAACAGTGCTTAATTTGTTCATGTAAACTGCATGTTTTGTGAATATACTTTTTCCTGTGGCTTTGCAGGCACCTGAACACAGAGCATGCGCTCGATGATCGTAGCACGGCACAGTGCCGAGTACAGATGCAGGTGGTTCAACAGTTGGAGATACAGGTGAGGGGCATCAGTCATTTTGGGTTGGGCTTTAGGGAAAAAATTAGTAGTTGGTCTTTATGGAAAATAATAATTGTCTGGACTAACCAGTAAATTATTTTTTCTGCTAGCTTGCAAAAGAGAGCGAGCGGTTACAGGCCATGATGACCCATCTGCATATGAGACCTTCAGAACCAAAACCTTTCAGTCAACCAGTGAGTATCCAAACTATAATACTTTCTCAGTCTTGATTCTTGTCTATTGGCCACATACTTACTGCTTTCTAAACCTGATGCCCTCTATTACCCTTTTTCTAACAGCTGAACTTGGTGTCCAGTATTTCCCATACCAAAATGTCACCGGACACTTACCCAGACGGCTTACCTCAACCCCCCACCTCAGCAACAGCCCCCATAACTCCTCTAAGACAGGGCACATCTGTGATAAGTTCCTCAAGCCTTCCCTCTCTTGGTCCTGTGCGCAGAAGGATAGTGGACAAATTCTGCACTCCTGTATCCTCAGGTAAGATCATGAGGATAATCATTTGTACTTCTAGATCTCTTAGGTAGAATTATTCATTGTTAATTTCTGTGATCATCCTCGTTATAAAAAATTAGCTAGTATGTTTTGGTTGCTCACCACAGTAAATGAGACACAATACAGAAATGTTTAACCTAAAAGTAGAACAATTATCATAGGAGTCAGGGACTGTTGCTGCTGATTCCATTGGTTTTAACGGTCATTGTTCCACTTTTAGACCTTTGCTTCTCTAGCAACGAGAGTTCTTCTTTTATGTCATTTGTTTCCTGGTCTCTTCAAGTAATATGAACGTTATAGAATTAAGTAACCTGAATGCCAGTTTGTTTCTTTTACTTAATTGCCTCAGGACACCATTTGTTATCTTTCTAATCGCATTCATCCTACCTTTTTTTGTAACATTCTCCAAATAACCGTCAACCTTGCTTTCTATTGTGCTCCTTTTTTTCCACCATTCTTTTCAGTGTTATCTATGTTACTGATCCAGCTTGTCTTGGTTCTCTAAAAATCTCTTTTCTGTAGAACTTACAAAATAACATTAGTTTTCAAATTCTCATAATTTTTACAATGCCTTTGCTAAACACTATTGAAATGTATTCTGTGGCCAAATATGCAATATGAAGAATAAGTAAAACTTCCGATGCACATATTAGAGGCGGACATTGTTATGTCAGAATATTGTTCCCATGATTTCCCTTGCTCAAATTATTCAAACGTAATTTTATTCTGGTTCTCAATGGCATCCATCAGGATCCAGATCATGAGTGCAAGATTTTAGAGATGTTTAGACGTGTAGTTAATGCAGCAATTAGCCATAAGTAGCACAAACAACAACTCACCATGACTGTACATTTTTTGATATTTATGATATTTTTTATTTTTTTTAACTCAAACCACATACTTGACATATACACAAAACACTTATTGGAAAATGTAATATGGCATAATATGTCATTAACATGTGGATTGAGTTTTTTTTTTATTAAGTAGACAGATGGCATAGTGCCTATATAAGAAAACAAAGCGAAAAATAATAACAGAAACATATGCACTGACTACACTTTAAACTTAAAATAGAGTGACCAAAGGGAACTCCCTTCGAAAAAGACTGGTGTTTAACCTCATGTGAGGGACTAATACCGATCCAGCTACCCCACGGACTTAACACAGTCAAGAGATGCCAGGCTAGGTAAGGGCAGAGATCTTTCACGGGGGTCTCTTGATTTGGTACCCCGAATAGGCCCTGGAGGACAACTGTACCAGCCCTGAGCTTTGGAAGGAGCCAACACCTTTGCTCAATGGACCCAGCGACTAATAGTGCTCCAGTCTATTTCCCTCCATAGGCATGGGGTAGTGTGTTGAGAACATCCCTCGAATGGCTCTCTGGTGTAGAGGGTAAGCTTTAGCTTGTTTGAGCGTTGGTTAAATTCAAAATTCACAGATTCTATCAAAGGTTGCCAAAACCTCTGCAGTTTGAGAGTTACGCTGCAGGACATACAGATTCTCGGCCATCTTGATAATAAAGAAAGCCCAGTCGGCCCACCAATAAACAGACACCTCCTTTGTGTGGACCGAGATAATCCCCACCACTCCAAAGGGGTGGAAGTGGGGAGCCAACAAGTCGTAAGACTGGTACACATAGAGGTAGGGAGTGCCTGCCTCCCTGCCACTCCGTTTTCAGAGTAGGCCCTGGGTCTCTGGAGCTTCAAGGTCGCTCAGAAACTACTCCAAAACGCTCAATAGGTTTAAACTTCTCTAAAGACACAAAATTCTGCTTATCCTTCAGAGCTCAGGCACAGTGCAACCTGTCAGCATGGCTATCAGACCCTGCCCCCTTACTCTATGATATCTTTTACTGTTTTCTTCATTATTTTTTGCTTGGCATCTAAAAGACTTCCATTTGGAAGCACTGAATACACTTATGTTGTCGTTGTTTTTTTTGTTCTTTGTGGATCTCCTGTTATCCTTTATTACCTTATATTTCTAACTGAAGACTATGTGCATATCTATGAACATTTTTCTGACCTGGAGAAAAAATACTTTTTCAGAGTGAAAATTGTTGTGAATCCAAAGTGAATTTCAACTGAAATGCCAAAGTAGCTAATTGGTAGCATAGTTTACATGTAGATATTTTCCAATTTGCCTATTTTGGCCTTAAATTTGACATTCACTTAGAATTCCCAACATTTCTCACTTTAGTGAATAACTCATTTTGTATTTCACATGTTTTTTTTCTTCATTTGTGTGTATAGAGTTATTTATATATATATATATATATATATATATATCACCTTTGAGCCTAAGTGGATATTTTAAAGAAATAATATAAATAATAATATAATACTTCATACTAACTAAATCCAGTTTCTATATTTTTCTAAATTAGAGAGTGTAATGTAATGTTGTAGAATTGTTTAAGGGCACATTCATTATGGAGGATTGAACCCCAAGGCCCTGCTAAAGCAGAGTTCCAGATCTGTGTTTCTCTTCATAGAAAGGGAACTCCTAAAAATCTAAATTTAAAGGTATTATACCACAGTCTATTCTGGCTTCAGTATCTGGCCCAGTGGCTCTCAGCCTTTGTAATATTGTTTTACTCATCTTTTATGCATAAAAATGAGGTATTTCCATCATATTTCCTGTTTTTTTCAATATGTCAAAGCTTTACTTAACCTCATGTGTTTTGTTGATTGTCTTGCATAAACTCAATAAAAAAAAAGGATTGACAAAAATATATATATATATATATACATAAATATATGCCTATCTTTTATTAAATTTAAGAAATGGCTAAAGTTTTGTTAGCAATTTATGTGTGCGATATACGATTATCTTTTAATTTCCATCTTCATGTTCATTACGTTTAGCACTTATAGCTCTGGTATCTTCAACGTCCTATTTAGTGACCTTGTTTTGTCTTCTTCACTCTCCACTCTTTCAGAGCTTGCTCAGAATCACGAGTTCTATAAGAATGCAGAAGTCCGACCGCCATTCACATATGCCTCTCTCATCCGGCAGGTCAGAGCTCACAGATATACCTGGGGAGTTGATGATGTCAAGTGATTTTTGCTTACCAAACATGCATTGTAACAACATGTATGTGTTAACCTTTCATTGTGCTCCTCTTAGGCTATCCTGGACACCCCCGACAGGCAGCTGACACTAAATGAGATTTACAATTGGTTCACACGGATGTTTGCCTACTTTCGGAGGAATACAGCTACATGGAAGGTGAGAAGGTTTATCCTTATAACATCAGTTTGAGCTTCCATTTCATGTAAGATATTGGTATCAGGGCCGGACTGGGAAGATAATTCGGCCCGGGCATTTTTTAATTACAGCGGCCCACTACAAAGGGGGCGGGGCCAGATAGGGTGTGTTTTGTCATCACCAATGACAAGCACGCCCCATCACAAAGTGAGCATGTTGGTTCAATGCTCTTCCAGGGTAGACCATGCGCAGAGCTCTGCTGAAGAGCTCTGGCATGAGAAAAAGACCCTGTATTTGTTCTGCACAGCGCAAGCAAATTCAATAACATGCTTGCACTGTGTTTGCTTGAAATTTGTCTCTGGTGTCTCCATAGTTGGCATACCAGGAGACAAAAATGCTAGGAAAGCATATTGTGCAGTGTGTGTGAGGGTGCTGTGTGTGTGTGTAAGGGGTGTAGTGTGTGCGAGAGGGGTGCAGTGTGTGTGAGGTGTGTAGTGTGTGAGTGATGGGTGCTGTGTTTGCGTGAGGCTGCTATGTGGGTAAGGGTGCTGTTTGTGTGTGCTGTGTGTGATTGGGTGCTGTGTTTGCATGAGGGTGCTATGTGCTTGTGAGGAAGCTGGTGCAGTGTGTGTGTGTGTGTGTGTGTACTGTAAGTGTTAGGGGTGCAGTGTGTGTGTGCTGTGCGTGTCAGGGGTGCAGTGAGTGTGTGCTGTAAGTGTTAGGGGTGCAGTGTGTGTGAGTGAGGGTGCTGTGAGTGTGTGTGTGTGTGCTGTGAGTGTCAGGGGTGCAGTGTGTGTGAGTGTGTGAGTGAGGGTGCTGTGAGTGTCAGGGGTGCAGTGTGTGTGAGTGAGGGTGCTGTGAGTGTCAGGGGTGCAGTTTATGTGAGTGTGTGAGTGAGGGTGCTGTGAGTGTCAGGGGTGCAGTGTGTGTGTGTGAGGGTGCTGTAAGTGTTAGGGGTGCAGTGTGTGTGTGCTGTGTGTGAGTGAGGGTGCTGTGAGTGTGTGCGTGTGTGTGTGTGTGTGAGAGAGGGTCAGTGGGTGCAGTGTGTGTGTGTGCTGTGAGTGTCAGGGGTGCAGTGTGTGTGTGTGTGTGTGCTGTGAGTGTGTGTGCAGTGTGTGCTGTGAGTGTCAGGGGTGCAGTGTGTGTGTGCTGTGAGTGAGGGTGCTGTGTGTGTGTGTGAGGGTGCTGTGAGTGTCAGGGGTGCAGTGTGTGTGTGTGAATGAGGGTGCTGTGAGTGTTAGGGGTGTCTGTGAGGCTGATGTGAGTTAGGTGATATTTCCCCTCCCTGCTTACCTTTAGCCTGGGGGGGGGGTCCTGCTGCTGGGGCTGCCATCCATCCCTGGTGGTCTTAGTGGTGAGTGAACTCTAGCCATCTCGCGCGAGGGTTCCTCTGCTGGCCGGCTGGCTCCCTGCCGGCGGCCGCAATATCCTGCATGCAGGTATTTGCCCGGTGTGCCCGATGGCCAGTCGGGGCCTGATTGGTATTAAGTGTTATCTGATAATATAGAACCTGTGCTTCCTGCTACATGTTCTTTATAGTTGTGAAGAACTCTTACATGTTTGCCTTCAGAGCTCGGGGTGACCAAGTTACCCATTTAAATAAAGCCTAAGGCAGGGGTAGGCAACCTTCTGCACCCTTGATGCTCTGCCAGCAATATGGCTGTAAGAGCATTATGGGAGATGAAGTGCACAGCATCTGGAGTGTCGAAAGGTTACCTACCCCTGGCCTGAGGGATATAGTGTCACTATCTGTTTCATGCAAGCGGTATTTTGCAAAGTTTTGATATTTTAGTTTTGCATTTGTAGAGTTCATTTTTCCATAAGGCAAGTTTGGAAACAACCAAAATACTTTTATCAGCCATATTTACTGTGTTGCAAACATAATATATTCATGAGTAAATTGAAAATGTTAGGTCAAGACTGTGGCGGCTCTAGACTTTGTAAGGCCTTAGGCGAAACTCAAACATGAGGCCCCCACTAACACCCAAAGTGGAAAAAAAACAAATAGGGGTTGCATTGTGTGTAAAAGGTGCTGTAGTTGCATTTAAGGACAAGCTTGCAGCACTGGATACAGAGACCTAGTCTCTGAATTCATTGTTCAGAGGCTTGCAGTGTTGCGGCTCCCTGTGCCGTTGTGTTGTGAGCTCTCCGACTGTAGTTATGGCATAATTTGCAAACTAAATTAATTTGCAATAAACAAATTTAATTAGCAATTATGCTAATCATTTATACATGACTGCGGGGTATGATTACATAGATGGAGGAGCAGTAACGGGGTGGGGGGAAGGAGGGGCAGTAACAACGGGTGTGGGGTATGGAGGGGCAGTAACTTGGAGTGAGAGGCAGTGACAGGGGGTAGGGGGATTGGAGGGGTAGTGACAGGGGTTGGGATTTGGAGGGACAGTAACAGGGGGTAAGAGGGTGGAGGGGCAGTGACAGGGGGTAGCAGGATGGAGGGGCAGTGACAGGAGGTAGGAGGGTAGTATCAGGGTGTAGGGGAGTGGAGGGGGTGATAACCAAGCTGTAAATATAAGTGGGATAGATACGTTTTAGTTTTTCTGAACTTTGGCCTAAACACCCTTTATCAGTTATACACAATACCAAAAGGTTTTTTTTTCCCTTGGTGGTAATTTTCCAAATGGAGATGAATAGCTATAAAGCTCAGTCTTTTTCTTATGATAGAAATACTTGCGTTTATTGTGCTGGGATTTTACTGTAAGTTCTACATTGACTTATGAGAAAAGTCTCGGTTGACAAAATGTGGAGCATCCTTGGGTCTATCAGTCACAAAAGATTGGCCATAGACCTCATTGTTGTATTCTTGTGTAAGAGTGTAATGTTGGCTACTGGTGGATGAAGCTTTTTGTGTGTTCTCTGGCATTAACGAGACAATTTAGTTTTTTGTTTAGACATTTTGTTTTTGTTCACTGCTTGCTTTGATTCCCAAGGAATAGTTTTGCCTTTTCTGTCTATAATGCCTGTTTAATCTAATAATTTGATCCACAATTTTTGCTAGAGTAATGCCTTGCATATGTATAGATTTGCAGATGTCCATTGACAGAAGACAAAATAGCGTGTCAGGCACGGATGTGAATTCCATGCATACAGTATTCAAGTTCAGTACAGCCAGACAGAAAAAAAATGAAGCAAAAAAAATGTATTTTTAAACTTCTGCTAGTTATTTAGCTGGCACTATGTACAGAGGAAATTATGAAGATAAGATAATCTCACATTAATTTTTATTGTACCTCTCATACCCCGACCACATCTTTTTCCTCTTTCTCTGACTACCTTTCTTGCTGGTTTTCTCTCCCTCCCATCTGTCTGAGGCCTGTCTGCCTGACCCTCATGTGACCTCTCAAATTGCTGTTAATGTTTTAGCCTAACGAATTAGTCTCTCATCTCCAGCCAGGCCTTGCAATGAGTGAAGGGGGCTCTGCTTTGAAATTGGGGTCATATAATTTGTGTGTGAGAGCATCAGCAAGGGGTGGTGATATGCACGTGCGGGCACCAGCGCCCAGGGATTAACTCCTTGGTAATCAGAATTGGCACAGCAGCAGCTCATGAGACTTGCTAAAAATGTACAGGGTTTAATTAGAAGGGAATTAGACTGGGTAAAGAGGCTGAGACTGCAAAATATTCCTTAGGGGCTGCTGTCAGACTGCTCGCTTTATTACAGTCCCTGAGGCCAACACACATGGCTGAGTGGTGTCTTGCAATAAATAGGCTAACCGTCGCAATGGCAGCTGTACATGTTAAGACACGCATGTGCCATTAGGATATTCAGTTGGAATCGTGCATTCCTGTGTAGGCTCTGTATGATGATACTCACCCGCAGTCTTTCCTTGCAGAACGCCGTGCGTCACAACCTTAGCTTGCACAAGTGCTTTGTGCGAGTAGAGAACGTGAAGGGGGCTGTGTGGACTGTGGATGAATTGGAATACCAAAAGAGGAGACCACCAAAGATGACAGGGTAAGTTGGGGCTACTCTTTGCCATTATGGTGCAGCTACAACTTATTCATTGTTAACCTCTTAAGGACCAGAGGTGGAACAAATCAACTGATATTTTACTAATATTAATATCACTGAAAAAAATACACGTAATATAGCCTTATTGCTATTTTTAATAATATAAAGGTTAATAACAGGGTTATTTTAGTTCATCTCCTGACATACATTTGCTGTTTTAGGGCAGCAATCTTTAGATCTGTTTGGCCAGAAGCAGCACTGATCTGCTAAGATTGTGCACAATTTAAAGAGCTGCAAGTGTCCCAGAGTGCATTTCAGAGATGCTAGGCATTTGCACATGAAGTCAGGATTAATGAATGTACACTAGCTCTTGATTTCCTGTAAAAAATGTTTTTACTCGATAAGCTGTGCTTCCAACAAAATATAACTTTAAGGTGAGCCTAGATTTGCCAGGAGATGCACTAGGTAGATTTACTAACCAAATAATACACACATAGCCTACAATACATTTTAAATAACATTGAAAAAAATAACAGTTTTCCTTTAAAAGTCCAATATAAAAATGGAATGCCCCACTCTTTTAACAAATAAGAGTGTCTTATCAGGATGGATTTTAGGACCCATATCCTATATGTATGGTCCTTAGGGGGTGAGCACTTTATTTATAGACATTCCTGTTTGTGTATGTGAAAATGTATGTATTTAACCAGAGCATCAATAGTTTTGCAAGAGAACAAGGTATTGTTACAGATTAAAGACTACACTTTGCAATCTCTTGCATTTTCCGTTTACAAAAACTCACACTTCACACTTTGAATTACGTTATGCAACACAATGGATTATGGCATAAGCGTAACGTAGACAGGCTCCCCTGTAGTCAGTTTGAGGGCTCTGCTGTCATCAAGCTATAGGCAGCGAAGCAAACGTAGGGAAAAAAAAGAGAGAGAGAATTTTATCAGTAATTATTTGGTATAAATAATTGAAGGAATAAAACATTTAATGACATGTTCACATTATGACTGTGTTTGTAAATGAGATGTGCTATGTCCCAGATGCAGAGAGTTAAGTTTTATGAAGAGTGTGTTAACATGTATATTGGTGCAAATGTTGCCTTTCATGTAGTTCTAGTATAATCCAATGTAGAGCTCCCTTGTCATGATTCTTCACTATGCCTTTAAAGTATACTGAGAATGTATACTGCACATGTGGGGCACAGAGGCCATAAATGTTACACGTAAAGAGTGGAAGACACATGTTACCCAGGATGGAAGCAGAGGGGATTACATGAAAGTCTTGTTACATGAAATATGAGCATTTCGTGTGGCATGAGTGGGCAGCACATCTATAGCACGGATAATTTGGAGAACATACCGTTCTATTTAAAATAAGCTGCTGTATTCTAGTAGCATGTTTTAACTTTGTAGGGACGTTGGTGGATACAATGTATAGATAAGTTGCTTGCTTTTTTTTCTCTATCTTAAGGGTTCTAAATCAGAATTACTGGCAATTCAAAGCGAATTTCTAAATTTAGCCCAAAATTGATTCTCTGTTCAGTTTGGCTATTTTGGCCTTACATTTGTAATTCACTTTGAATTTCTAGCAATTCTCACTTCAGTGAATAACACTGTAGGAACTGTTAAGAATGAATCTTGAAATTTCAAGTTCTATGCCACAATTGATGAGTGGACATTATAGTTGAATTGAATAATTTTTGATATGTGTTTATTTTGAATGTAAAATTGTCTAGTTAGTTCTGCTCAATACTCAGTTCACATAATATCCCTGTAACACTGTAAATTTTTGACAAAACAGCAGTTTTATACCAAACATAGCCAGCAGATAGAGCTAGAGTTACATTTTTGTTCAGCAAACATAATCCAGTCATTTGACGTGTTTTTGCCTTGACTCATACTCAATGCACTGATGGAGATTTTAACTAGACAACTCACTTGACTTTATTTAAAAATAATTTTGGGGGTATTTTACCCGTCAGTCTTTTAATGTATTGTAGCACTTTTGTGAAACAAAGTTTTAATAGTTTGGAATTATTGCAGGAGCCCGACCCTTGTTAAGAATATGATTTCAGGCCTGGGTTATGGAGCCCTGAATGCAAGCTATCAGGTGAGATACTACCCCAATCCATGTAATTGTTGGGCTCTGAGTTAGCTAGCATTTTTATTCTAAACATCTGTATTTTTACCACTGTTTTTATGTCCTCAAACAGGCGGCATTGGCCGAGAGCAGCTTCCCACTTCTGAACAGCCCCCCACTGCTCAACAGCTCAGGCAGTGGCCTTCATGGAGGACATGATGATGTCACCAGCACTGGGGAACCTGGAAACAGCAATGGTAGCAGCCCTCGCCTTTCTCCTCAGTACAGGTATCGTCACCCTGCCCCACTCTGTTACAGTATATGTTTAGACTGCTTTAGTAATACAGTAATCCAATACCAAAGGAAGTGAATGTCATAATGTGCTTATAATGTACAGGAGCAGTGAAGATCTCCTTAACACAAACCATAATGCAATATGAAAAAAGAGAGAATAACACAAAATGCTAGTCACAATGCCAAAAGACAAATGTGGCTAGTTGTGTTACCTGGAAATATACACCAGTCTAATAAAAATATGCTATATACATTGAATTCAAGGATTGAGATGTCCCAATAAGTGTGAGTTTAAAAAGTCAAGTATGTACAAAAATGTTCCATAATCCCTGAAGTGGTATAAAGGTATCACCAGCATATTCTTAGCAGCAGATATCCCCTCTGAGCTTTATTTTGGCTGGCTCTATGGGCTTCTGCAGTGCTATACTAGTAAATCTGATATACCAACCAAAACAAGGGACGGCAAGAAATAAATAGGGCTACCACTTTAATATTACCTGGAGTCTCTTCTCGGTACTTTAGTTGGTCTTTCACCGCTATGTCCAGCGGAGATGAACCAATTTACATAATGCAATATGAAATAGTATGTAGTTTATGTAGTAAGGAGTTAAGCTATGGATTATCAATCTGTAGTTGTGGTTTCTTTTTTGCGGTGGTGGTGGGGTTTCTGTGTGTGATTGCCAGGTATGACTGTATTCTAATGTCCCTAAAACAGTAGTGTGTGTGTGTTTATAGATATATATTTGTGGTCAGATAATATAGGGACCGTGAAATAACTTGTGATTAGATCAAGTCGGTGTGGTGTGCCGAAACCGACGTAGGGGTAGGCCTGTAAAAAAAGAGGCCCCCCCGAAGGAATTGTTTAGGTATTAAGAGGATGAGGTGGGTTGGGGTGAGAGAGAGAGAGACACACACACCCACACACACTATTTGTGACAATACACTGTCTTTTAGGATCACATAGTCCAATACAAAAACAGTGGGTGATGTCAGAAATCCTGTTAGAGCAGACTATTCATTTCTAAGATAATCTGACAAAAATATTTAAACCTTGACATAGTTGCTCTACTTCACAGCTCAAGCCTTCAAAAAGGTTGAAGGGGAAACTGCAGAATTGCAGAACTGTGTCAGTTGATCAATGATAGGTCAGGTCCTATTCCAATACACATTAACAATATCCTTATTTTCTATTCCAGTCAACCAGTCCATGTTAAAGAGGAACCAGCTGAAGAGGATGTCAGGCCTGCCTTACTTTCAGCACCGACCAATCAGAAAACAGTGCTGCCAGATGAACGAGACCTGGAACCAGAGACAGCCATGGAAGACTTGCCGTAATGGTTTCTGAACCCAATGAATAATTTTCCTTACCCCAAAGTCCAGCACTTCCACCAGAGACCAACTTTACCGTCTCCCCTAAGCCTCATCCAGCCTGAACTGAGAGAGAATGAACTTGACTCTCTCCCACTCCTTGGGGTCTTCCTCAGTCTGGCAGCACTTCAGTGACTTATGGACTGGAGGGTGAATTCCCACAATCCTTTTCTCCCTTCAACAGAGTTGGAATGCTACTAATGACCTCTGACATTGACAGGGTGGGGGTTCCAGTCCTGTGTATTTATCCCCCACTGCACATTTTGGGAACTATGAACTCCTCCTGCAACTGCAGTTAGGAACACCTCTGGACCACATCCTCTGCCATGCCCTTCAATGCATGCAGGATTGGGGGTCCTTCCCTTGGCTCCCGCTCCCTATTGCTAGCTGTTTCCCTGTCTGGTCAATTCAGAAGGTACCAAAAAGAACCAGACTTTATTTATTTTGCTCTGCGTGTTTCGGATCAATTTTACTGCTGGCATTCCTCACTCATACATGTGAGCACATGGTACGCAATACACAAGGACCCCTTAATGCATGGATGCAGATACAGCCACACTGTGTGCACAAATTTACACCTACATATACAAACACATGATGTGCACAGTAGTACACACGTTGTATGTGTGTACAAAGATGTGTGCTTTAAAACAAGGGTATACAAAGGGTTCTATGTACAAAGCAACATTGTGAGTGTCTAGATGCCAAATTGTGCACAGAGATATTGGCATAAACTGCTCCATATTTGTAAAATGCTAAAATAATACCTGGTGCTGTATCTTTTGGAGAAAAAAACAAAAAGATGGTCTTTTGTGGCCCTTATTTCACAGTCACCATGTAACAAAATATCAGAGAAAATATTAACTAAAATACCATTTTATAGCACAGATCTGGAAACTTCTGTGATCTTGCAAATGTAATTCCACATATGTAGGAGTTTAAATCATGTGAAGAAAAAAAAAGTGACACTCCATAGTATGCTAGTTTGGAAATGGAAAATTGATGAAATAGACTTGTGCCAAAAAAGATTATTGATGCTCTTTGCTATGTTGGCCGTATGGTGTACTTTCACAAATTACACACATCACTTATACATAGATTTACAGAACCACGTTTGTATGCAGTGTGTACTCATGCAGAAACCCTCTCTTATCTCATAGAACTACATCCCTTAGCACACACAGTGTTTGTGGGTTATGAATCATAGTACATGTAGGTGGGCTGAGACATGTAAGAGGTATTTCAACCTTGAAAGAATGCCGCACTATTGGGACCAATTCACTTTCTACATTCTAGATATGCTACAGAATAAAATCCATGCTACGAAAACTGCCCATTCTCAGCTCCATACATACAATCCATAATAACACAAAAATTGCTCATGTACAAACTCACAGCTATTTACATTTTCACAGTTATGGCTAATTGATCCACACATAGTAACTGCCTTACACATTCCTAATCACAAGCAGACATTTTCGATTTGCGCAGTAAACCTAGATGTTGCTGGTTCTCATACACATATACAAGTTGTTACCTTACATGGACACACAGAGACACTTACAATTCACAAACACTATAATTTCTAATGTTCCAATGTATTCGCAAACATACAATGTATGTTCTAAGCAATGACTATGTTGTCCAAAATGTCTATTTGTCATGTACATACTGCCGTCACATTTGTCGACACCGTCCCTTTTTCAGTAAAGGACTTGTAGGACTCTCCCTCCTGTGTGCTGCATCCTCCTACCCCTCCCTGACCAAAGATACCTCTCATGCCAAATAAACCAAAACCTCCTCTTACTTTGGCGTGGTGTTCAAAGGACACAGAAGAGAATACAGAGGTCACCCAAAGCCAATGGTACCAGTATATGTATTACAGTCACAGAGTGTACCTATCCCTCTTTGGTTTCTCCTCACTGTATTTTACCTGCCTGTATAAATACACTTGTGGACCTGGTGTGTCCATGCATGTTGAGTGAGTGTGTGAGCGCATTATCTTTGCTTAGAAGATTGATTGGTGCTATGTGTGAATACCTCAATGATCAATGGGGTATATTAAAAAAATACTTTTTTATTGGGATCTTGTGGTTTTTAAACCATCCTTTGAGAAAAAAACCAAAACACTTATTATTGAACCCCCCTCCTCTTGAATATGTCTGTGTCCGGGAGTAACAGTGCACACAACCTTGGTGTCGTCCCACATTTGGATCGAAGCAGGTCAAGCAGAGTACAAAAGAGTGCATTAAAGAACAGGATGACTATAAGCATATATGATGTGAAAGCTATAAAGAAGAGTGTAACTCCAGCAAAACGTCTCTACCTGAGCAGAGGCTGAACAGCTAGAGAGCTCACTTGGGTCACCGGACTCTGCTTATGTCACTGATTAGAACTGAATTTAGTTTGGTTGCTGATTTTCTAATTAACAGTAGGTCTGGTAGAGGAGAGTCATTTCAGTGGTTCAGTTAGATGTTTATGGCGTTGTGAACTACCTTTAAGTGCAGGCCAGAAACGGTTTCTGATTGTACTAAAAATTGTTACTTATAAAGATGCTTACAGCAATGGGTTGTAAACCACAAGATCCCTTTTGTTTTTTATTTAAATTTAGAAATAAAAAGCAATTTGCTTTTCAAAAATCTATTTTATTTTCATTTGCCGGGTTGAAACCTAAGATTTCCATTACCTTTATACTTCATTCGAGAAAGTAGCTCGATGAGCTGTAAAATAACGCTGCAGTCAAAAAAATGTTTTCTCCATTTGAATAGTGTGCCGTAAAGTTTGGTCTTCATGCTTTGTCATGCTTCTTTGTTTAGCTAATGGACCCATCACTAACTGAGTTGTGCAAAACACAGGAGACCATTACAGTAGATGTCACAAGGGATTGCACCATAACAAAACCTCAGAACACACAATGGAACATGTCTTCACTGAAGTTTAATCTATTAAACTAGTCAGATAGGTGTGTATATATAGGTATATATTCCCTGTTGGCCGTGGATTGTTCTACAAAAGATCTCCAACTTCTGGTAGTAATATGGCAGATGTGACCTCAATTAAAATTGTTTAATTCATTTTATTTTTTTTTAAGTATGTCACAGATGTATGTATGTAATATGGGAGTGTGTGTAAATTTGAGCTTATACACATAGATTCCATGTGAGAATCTACAAACAGGTACCACCCCAAGTCTATTCATTTGGATCTGTCCCTGTGTTGTGACACTACTGCTGATTGGTGGGAGGAGGGAATAGGCAGGACATATTACCTCATGCTCTGGGTCGGCTGATCAGTGTTGTGGCTTCTGATACTGTGCCAGCATCATTTGTATGCATGGGCACAGATTCCTCGTGTACAATAGGTTCTAGGTGCATGAAACATGTATGGACATTGGTATATATAACACGCAATAAATATAATTGTGTCACAGATCCTTCTAACTGTGTAACAGTAGAGGCCTCTTTGATCATGTCTAGCTAAGTCTGTAATAACCAATTTAATATTGGCATTTCCTGATGAGTGTATATTTTTACATATTCAACATTTAGAACTATACGGGCACATTCTGCGCACCAAGTCAAAAAATAATAAAATAAAAATACAGATCTGTCACCTGAAAAAAAAAATAATTACATCATTCAACAGAGCATACAAAACAAGTTATAAATGATGTTAACCTATTTTAAGAGGGGTTTTAAGATATTTTAATGATAGGTTTTAGTTAACCTACCTGCTGATTAAACGTACGCTCCGGACATGTTGAAACCACATCCTGTTTCCTGATTTGTTCACTCGGTACACAACATCAGTTATAAAATATATTGCAAAGATTAAGGATGAAAAAAATGATTGACCAAAAGAAGCCACTGTGCTTACTTGGAAATATTTTATTTAAAAAAAAAATTTGTAAAAAAAATCAGAAAAATGCAAAACCACAATATTTAAAATATATATATATATATATACACTATTGTTTTCAATGTGGTTGTAATTGCTTTTTTTGTCTGGTGACAGGTCAAGTTCCCATAGATTCTGCTATATATGGAGAAAAGCTCTGTCAGTGTATAATCAAGTAATACATTGACAGAAATTGTTACTTTAACAAGGTAAATACCAGCATCACTACAAAGAAAACGCTAATAGTGGGTCCTTCTGAAATCTTCAAGATCAGAATCAATAAATTTGTTATTGAGAAACATACTTGTTTTTAAGTTTGCCGTTTTTAAGTTTGTTGGTAATAAAGGTGGAGAAAAAGACTGAGGGGGAGATTGATGCAAATTTAATGATCTTAAGAGAGCTGCAAAATTGTACAAATGGAGCAATCAACATTAAAACATTCCAAAGGTTATTACTCTCCACTTTTACAAATTTGCACCACATTACTGTTCTCACATAAACAAATAACCCCTAGGTATCAACTCTGTGAAAAATATATTGTGCTATAAATTTAACCTGAAGAGAGAAAACGGCTTAAGATTTTTTATGTGTTCTTTTTTTAAATTTTTTTTGTTTCTCTCCCATGAGTATATGTTTTGTGTATTTTAAAAGCACTTGCTGCTGTAATTTATTATTAAAAAATATATATTAATCACTCATAATAGAAAACTTGAAAAAGAAAGAAAACAAATTTATTAACCTCAAGAAATATTTTATTTTGCGTATCGTGACACCAAGAATAATCCTTAAAATGTGTATTTACAAAAAAAAAAAAAATATGTATGTACAATCTCTTACAATCAGGAACAGGTGGAAACAAATAGATTATTTTTATGCATAGGTAATAGAAAAATTGAGTTTACACAGTAAGTATTCAAAATTTAACCTATAATAATATTTTCCGACTTCACAATAAAGCACAGTTTAGTGAATAAGTCACAATCACCATGGTGAAATTCCTCTTAATAACAAATCACAGTTCTGAGTCCAAAACAACGTGTTTCCAGCTAAATGCAATTAAGATGATAAGTCAGGGTACATAAGGCTGTAAATCTCTCTATCTGTAAATTCAATTTAACCAGAAAAATAATATATATATATATATACACACAATACCAGTAGAGAGCACTCAGGAGACATTTCAGTCTTTCAAAAGTCTTTTACAGACTGAAACGTCGACTGGAACTTTGTGTGAATTTGTTATTGCTCAATAAAACAACAGATGAAATTTACCTTGAAAGTAGAGTGCTCTCTACTGGTATCGTATACAATTTGGTTGAAGACAGCACCGGAGCATTAAAAGACCGGGAGCATTGAGTGCTGGGACCTGGGACGTATATATTTTTTTATTATTATTATTATATATATGCAAAACAAGGTGTGTACGTACTTCTAAAAAAAAAGTTAAATATAGGGTGTTTTCCAGGTGTATCCCCTTATCACCTCACAAAATTCACCAAATCAAATGAAGTGATACACCCCTAGAAATAACACCCTTTTTGAACTCCATGGTTTTACATATCAGGACATAATAACAATCATCTGTTTCTTCACAGGTCTTAACATTAGGTAACAGTAACCTCAGATGAACAACAAATTACATATTACACCATGTCATGAATTAACAAAAATAAAGCCAAAATGTCACAAACTAGGTACACCCTTACTGCTTTCATAGGAGTTAAGAGGTTAAATAGCAGAAGACAGGTGCCGCTACTCAATGTCCTTTGAACAGACGAGACCAAAGTGGAGATGTTTGGCCATAATGGACAGTGCTATGTTTGGTGAAAACCAAAAATAAATCAAACAGCATATTAGAACAAGCACCTCATACTAACTGTCAAGCACGGTGGTGGAGGGCTGATGTTTTGGGCTTGTTTTGCAGCCACTGGGCCTGGGAATCTTGCAGTCATTGAGTTGACCATGAACTCTATACAAAAGTACTCTAGAGTCAAATGTAAGGCAACCTGTCCGACAGCTAAAGCTTTGCCGAAATTGGGTCTTGCAACAGGACAATGATCTCAAACACACCAGCAAATCTACAACAGAATGACTGAAAAAGAAAAAAATCAAGGTTTTGCAATGGCCCAGTTAAAGTCCTGAACCTAATTGAAATGCTGCGGCAGGACCTTAACCCCTTCCCGACCCAGGACGGTTCAGGACCGTCATCGGCATTTTTGTCTTGCCGACCGATGACGGTCCTGAACCGTCCTAACGGTCTCCGTTACTTACCTGATCGCCGTCGTTCCCCCGGCGGCGATCAGCGTGGCTCCGGTTGTGGGGAGACTGCCTGCAACCCAGACAGTCTCCCCATGGCGGATTAGGACCCCTGTGGCCATGTGATCGCTCAACACAGCGATCACATGGTGACAATAGGTGTCCATGTGTCTGCCTGCAGGGGGACTGCCTGTGCTGACAGGCAGTCTCCCTGCTAGTGTAAAATCAATTAAAAAAAATAAATAAAGTTAGTGTTAATAAAAAAAAATACTTATATATGTGTATATATGATATATAGACATATATTATATCTATATAATATATGTCTATATATCATATATATAATGCCATACTAAGTGTATTTTTATATTAATATGTACTTATATTAATATAAAAATACACTTATAATTAAATTACACACGTATATATATAATATATATAATAACTATATATATTGTATATATATATTATTATAAAATATAAATAATAAGTAATTTAAATTAAATACATTTTTTTAAATAATAATAAAAAATTTTTAAAAAATTATATAGCTATATGAAATTTTATTCTAACTGTATTTTAAAATTAATATATATATATTTATATCAAAATACACTTAGAATGAATTTGTATATATATCTATGTATATAAAAATAAATAAAAATAATAGAAATATACATACGTCCATATACAAAATTACATAAATAATTATATAAATATACACGTAGACTTCAAATATATAAATATGCATATATATTTAAATTCTACGTGCGTATTTATGTAATATTTTTACATAATTCAGTAATTTTATTGATTGCAATTTGAGGGACCTGCCTGCCAACCCAGGCCGAAAGTCCAGAGAATTTAATTTGCTAGCACTGTATTTTACCCTGTAACGTTCTACGACACCCTAAAACCTGTACATGGGGGGTACTGTTTTACTCGGGAGACTTCGCTGAACACAAATATTAGTGATTCAAAACAGTTAAACATATCACAGCGATGATATTGTCAGTGAAAGTGACTTTTTTTGCATTTTTCACACACAAACAGCACTTTTACTGATGATATAATTGTTGTGATACGTTTTCCAGTTTTTAAACACTAATATTTGTGTTCAGCGATGTCTCCCGAGTAAAACAGTACCCCCCATGTACAGGTTTTATAGCATTTTTGAAAGTTACAAGGTCAAATATATGGGTCAAATATTTTTACATTGAAAATGGCCAGGTTGGTTACGTTGCCTTTGAGAGCGTATGGTAGCCCAGGAATGAGAATTACCCCCATGATGGCATACCATTTGCAAAAGAAGACAACCCAAGGTATTGCAAATGGGGTATGTCCAGTCTTTTTTAGTAACCACTTGGTCACAAACACTGGCCAAAATTAGCGTTCAATTTAGTTTTTTTACTTTTTTCACACACAAACAAATATGAATGCTTACTTTGGCCAGTGTTTTCGACTAAGTGGCTACTAAAAAAGACTGGACATACCCCATATTGAATACCCTGGGTTGTCTACTTTAAAAAAAATATGTACATGTGGGGTGTTATTCAGAGATTTATGACAGATAATAGTGTTACAATGTAACTATTGATAAATTTTAAAAATGTATGTTTTGAAACCGCAATATCCTACTTGTACCTATAGCCCTATAACATGCAAAAAAAGCAAAAAAGCACATAAACACTAGGTATTTTTAAACTCAGGACAAAATTTTGAATCTATTTAGCAGTTTTTTTCATTCGCTTTTGTAGATGAGTAAAAGATTTTTCAAGTAAAAGTCAAAAAACATGTATTTTTTTCAATTTTTCATTATTTTTTTTAAATTAAAATACATGAGATTATATAAATAATGGTATGTAAAGAGAGCCCCTTTTGTCCTGAAAAAAACAATATATAATTTGTATGGGAACAGTAAATGAGAAAGCGGAAAATTACAGCCAAACACAAACACCACAAAAGTGTAAAAATATGCCTGGTCGCAAATGTACAACATCGCAAAAACAGTCCAGTCCTTAAGGGGTTAATAGAGCTGTGCATAAACAAATGGCAGCAAAAATCATAAAAATTACACAACATTGTAAAGAAGAGTGGGCCAAAATTTCTCCACAAACACGGTACATTTAATCGTCCACCAACAATATCTAAGTCTTAGCTTAACCAATAAGCACTTAAAATGGAACTGTCACTTTCCCGGTGTTTGACAATTTATGTTTATTTTCCCTTACATTAAACAAATAAGTATTTGTGAGGCATGATAAATTAAATTAAATATAGAAATTAACACTTATTTATCCTGCAACTAGGCCCCTCCATCTTAGCCTTCTGTCAATCATTGTTAGAAACTCTCTCCCTCACACCTGGTAGTCAGAGTACAGAAATCATATAGAGAAGGGGAGAAATTATGCATTTTTTTTATTTATCCCCTCCATTTGCAATATTTGGTCTGCTTTTGTACATCAGAACTGTATTATGGTGTTATGATGCCATTTGCTCAATTTTTAATATACATATTAAAAGAAAATTGAGCATCTTGTGAATAAAAGGTTAAAAGAAGTTATAGACAATATTTAATGTTTTACTTAACTGTGTATTCTCCAGATGAGTGACAGTTCCCCTTTAGGGTAGGCATGTAATAGATACCAACAAAATACATGTAGTTCTTAGGCAGAGAAGTGGATGCATTGTCGCTCCTCGTTTAACCCCTTAAAGGACCACTATAGTGCAAGGAAAACATACTCGTTTTCCTGGCACTATAGTGCCCTGAGGGTGCCCCCACCCTCAGGGTCCCCCTCCCGCCCGGCTCTGGAATGGGGAAAGGGGTAAAAACGTAACTTTTTCCAGCGCTGGGCGGGGAGCTCTCCTCCCCCGTTCCTCCCTGTCGGCTGAATGCGCACGCGCGGCAAGAGCTGCGCGCGCATTCAGCCGGTCACATAGGAAAGCATTCACAATGCTTTCCTATGGACCCTGGCGTGCTCTCACTGTGAAAATCACAGTGAGAAGCACGCAAGCGCCTCTAGCGGCTGTCAATGAGACAGCCGCTAGAGGCTTTGGGGGAAACTGCTATGTTTATAAAAGAATGGGTTAATCCTAGCTGGACCTGGCACCCAGGCCACTTCATTAAGCTGAAGTGGTCTGGGTGCCTAGAGTGGTCCTTTAAGGACCAAACTTCTGGAATAAAATGGAATCATGACATGTCACACATGTCATGTGTCCTTAAGGGGTTAAACAACCAAAATATAGGGGGAAAAATGGGGTAGAAAACAGAAAAAGTGGGCAATAAGCTTTTTGAGCCTGTACTGTGGATAGTAAATGAAACAATCATACCATGCGTAGATCTTGTCGACCTCTGGAGTCCATGATCTGGCCACATCCGAAAAATGCTCTGTCCCTGAGTAAGAAATTTAGTTGCCTAAATGGTAT